TGACAATCTTTTGCAGGGACCAGACCAAACGAATGCACTTTTAGACGTGTTGACCAGATTCCGTATGGAGAACATAGCTTTCACAGCCGATATTGAAAATATGTTCCATCAAGTTTATGTTCCAGAGTCTGACCGCGATTTATTCAGATTCCTGTGGTGGAAAGATGGCGATCCTCAAAATGATATATTGGAATACCGCATGAAAGTTCATGTTTTTGGAGCCACTTCTTCACCCAGTATAGCATGCTTTGCATTACGCAAGACAGCTTTAGACAACCGAGGGTGTTTCTCGAATGAAAGCTGTGCTACTATTGAGAAGAATTTTTACGTCGACGACTTGCTGAAGGCAATGCCTGACGAAGGAAGCGCTATACTGCTGCTTCGAGACCTGATGGTTTTGTGCAAACGAGGGGGATTTACTTTAAAGAAGATTTCGAGCAATAGTTCCGCTCTGATTGCATCCATTCCTAGCGAATCGCGGTCTAAGCAATTGGCGTACTGGACCAGCGATAGTAGTCACCTTCCCACTGAGCGAGTATTGGGTGTAATCTGGGACACTGAACAAGATGTGTTAAAGATGGCATTGGATCACGACAAGCTAGTTGCCCGGCCGATGACAAGACGAGGATTACTGTCAGCTGTAAGCTCCTTGTATGATCCAATTGGCATGTCATGCCCATCCATGCTGAAGGGACGCCTCATCTTGCAAGAATTGAGCAGGCTACATAATGGATGGGATGATAGTATTCCGCCTGTCAAGCAGCAAGAGTGGACGGCTTGGCTATCAGCTCTAAATGAAGTGAATGAATTGTCAGTGAATCGTTGTGTAAAACCTGATAACTTTGGAGACGTAGTATCTTGTCAACTTCATCATTTTGCTGACGCCAGTGAAGTAGCATACGGAACGGTTTCTTACATCCGGCTTACGAATGCCAAAGGACAAATCTGTTGTTCTTTTCTCAAGGGCAAGATGCATTTAGCGCCTCTCAAAGGAGCTACAATACCTCGTCTGGAGCTCATGGCGGCAACGACGGCGGTAAAAATATGCTCCCTGATAGGTGATACCATTGAATTCGATGATGTCGAGCATATATTTTGGACTGACAGCACCACCGTTTTAAGGTACATTCAGAACAAAGCGAAGCGTTTTCACACCTTTGTAGCAAATAGATTGGCAATAATCCACGATGGGTCAAGGCCAGAACAATGGAGGTATGTCAATAGTTCAGACAATCCAGCTGACGACGTGTCTAGGGGTGTCCAAAGTAAGAGATGGCTGAATGGACCTGAATTCCTTTGGAAGGACAAAGGCTTTTGGCCCTCAGCACCGATCGCCTTCAGGGAGGTGACGGAGGACGACCCCGAAGTGCGAAAAACGGCGATATGCGCTAAAACTGCGATTGTACCAGATTCTGAAACTCCGATGGAGCGGCTCATTTTACATTATAGTCAGAAAGAATCCCTGCTCAGAGGATTGTCGTGGCTGTCACGATTTACAAGATCACTTAAGGAAGGACAGAAGGGGTTTATAAAAATGTCTCCCCCTTTGTGCTATGAGGAGCAACGTGAAGCAGAAAAGAAAATAATTCGACATATACAAGAACATGAATTTCCAAGGGAGTATGAAAACCTGTCAGTTGGCGCTGAGGTACCAAGAACCAGTCGATTAGTGAAGCTTCACCCTTTCATGCAAGACGGTATCATTAGGGTAGGTGGAAGATTAGCAGAGGCTTCGATTTTAGAAGAAACAAAACATCCTATCGTTATTCCGAGTCGTGGTCATTTTACAGAACTACTCATTACGGACGCCCATGAAGCCGTAGGGCACAGTGGGAGACAGTTCACGCTAGCGAAACTTCGAAAACGTTTTTGGATTCTGAAGGGAATTTCAAGTGTAAGACGTGTTCTAAACAGTTGTTTGAGTTGCACTAAACTCTACCGACCACCTGAATCACAACAAATGGCCAATCTTCCGTCTGACAGAGTGCAAGCTCAAGAGCCACCGTTTACGCGAACAGGTGTGGATTACTTTGGACCATTTTATGTCACTCAAGGTCGTTCACAGGTCAAGAGATATGGGGTCATATTCACCTGTCTTGCTATCAGGGCCGTACATCTGGAGGTTGCTGAAAATCTGACGTCAGACTCATTCATTTGCGCCCTGCGCAGATTCGTTGCACGTAGAGGTAATGTTCAAATACTAAGGTCTGACAACGGAACAAATTTTACTGGAGCCTTTTGATTACGCTAAATCAGCAAATCAATTATGGCCTTTACCACCGCACTCAATACGGTCTAATTGCACTATTCGAGCATCTTCTTACTCAAATAATAGAAACAAACATATCTCTCTTGAGTTCCATGTTGCCGTTTCTGGAATACATGACATCACGTCATACAACTTGGAGACATAGGTTTAAGGACAACAACACTATGCATTTACCTAAATCATCTCATACAAGATCTAACGTTACAGATATAACCAAGATCGTCACTCTCACTACTAACGAAAGTCGTGTCTATTACCACAACAAAATGCGTACTTACATGAGTCTACATGAGTCTACATATAAAATCGCGTGACAATTTTCTCGCGTATACACACTGCGGCGAACCCTCTTGCTGGGCGGCGCCAACACCCACCCCCTTGAAACCACGAGGGGTCGAAAACGAGAGGTTTCAATTTAACTTCACCAGTTTTGTCACTGGGCGCTGCATTACTGTCCCTCTTGTTCGGACAGTCGCAGATCGAACCAATCCATCGGAACTAGTTCGAACAGCTTCAATCAAACCGAGTGGCCACTGGCCTCTGGGAACACTATCATCAACAAGCAGAACTGTGTCTCCTGGTTGAAAGTTCTTTCTTGTTTCTGTCATAACGTGCCTTTCTTGTAGAGTCGGTAAGTATTCGGATCTCCACCGTGTCCAAAAAACATTTGCGAAATGACGAGCTTGCTTCCATTTTTTTCTATTTCCATGGTCCGCCTGGGAGAAGACTCCGAATGGTAACGTTACACCATGTCCTCCCAGAAGAAGAATGTCATTTGGCGAGAGAGGTGGATCGTCCCTGACGTCGCTAGATACTGGCGTAAGCGGTCTACTGTTCAGTATGTTTTCAACTTCACAAAATATGGTTCGGAGTGTCTCTTCCTTGAGCGATTGCGATGTTAAAAGGGATTCGAGTATTCTTCGTATGGATCGTATCTGACGTTCCCACACCCCACCATGATGGGAGGCGCCTGCCACGTTGAATTTCCATGTAATTCCTCGCTTGAGCATTGCTCTTTGTAACACATGCTCATTTTCTGATAACCTTGTCATCTCTAAGCGCAGTTCCCTGTTGGCTCCAGTAAAATTTGTTCCGTTGTCAGACCTTAGTATTTGAACATTACCTCTACGTGCAACGAATCTGCGCAGGGCGCAAATGAATGAGTCTGACGTCAGATTTTCAGCATGTCTTGTGAATGCTGTGACCCAGTGGCTTCCGCGGGTGTGAGTAATTGCGGCATAAAGACTTTATTGCAGCTGAGTTAGTTGTGATTTGTCAAATATGGCTCGTGAGAGAGGTGTAGGCTAAGGTTGTTCCTGTGTTTGTGTCTTTCTGCGCGTGCCGTGTGTTGTGTTCGCAGCGGGGCAAGTTGCCCTCGCCGCGTGTGCGACCTTTTGAGTCTTTCACCCAAAGTTGTGGTGGAAGGTTCCTGTTCTTGTCGTCGTTGAGTAATAGGCTCCGACGACAAGTCATAGTGTATACTGTGTGTGTTAGATTTAAGTAGAAATAAGTCGTGTAGTGTTTTTGTACTTTGTTGGGCGAGCTGTCCTAACAGAGTGCTACGTTCAACTCATCCGCCCGCAGTGCATTGTACGCCGTGTTTGATAGACTTAGTTTGTGTAGTGTTTTTCACGTGTTGTCGGACAAGCTGTTCTGACGAAGCGTGAATCTCAGTTACCATAGAATCTCTTAAAGGTTGTGTATAGTAAAAGCTGTCTTTCGCCGGTAGCTAAAACGAACAAAATGACCAAAAAATCCGTCCCGCGTCGTGTTGTTAGTGATAGTCTGTTTGAGTTTGTGTTGCCTGCCCGTCCACAGGGCGTTATTAGCAATAAGGTAAAAGTGTCATGTGATTTGCCATATGTAACCCTCGACGATGACCGCGTGCTGGCTGAGGAGCACGAAGAAAAACTCACCCAGCAAAGAGATGAGGCGCAGAAGCGCCGGAGCGGACGCGAGTTCCGCTGGGGAGCTGCCGTAGCAAAGCGAGCTCTTGATGAGGAGGCGCTTGAGCTGCGCGACTTGGAGCGCGAGAGCGATAAAGCCCGAGCTCGTCGTCTCTGCCAGCTCCAATTCGATTGGATCTTCTCTGCTCGTTGTGGCGAGCTGGACACTCTCCTGGCTGCAGAGGTCAAGCGCCAGGATCTTGCCAACCAGGAGATCGCTGACCTCGAACGGCTCGGCGCCTATCAACAAGCCGAGCTGGCTAAACGGCGCGAAGACGCCATCTTCTCCGAGAGGCTCGGAGAGCTCGACATGCTCATCTCAGAGCTGGAGGCTGAGGCATGCTTCATGATGGGTCAGCGCGACGCGCTGTACTGCTCTGAGGAGGCAGTGGAGATCGAACATGACACCAAGCGTGGTGAGTACCTCGCTGAGTCCACGGCGTATGATGAGGCCAAGCGCTTGAAGCGCGAGGTGGCCAGGCTGCGCCATGCTCACCGGAAGCGAGGCTACTACGGAGTCAACGACCAAGGGTGGTTCGTTGCTTGTGGCCCTGCTCAGCCGGGAGAGGAGGATCAGGTGCGCCTTAGCACCTATAACAAGTTTGACGCGCTGGAGCACCAGCCGACCCTCGACAGTGACGAAGAGGCCGAAGTGCCCAAACAGAGGAAGGACAAGCGCCGGCGTAACCTCCGCCGTAAGTCGCAGGAGGTCGATAACTTCGATGAGTTGTTGGCCGAGGCAGCAAGGTGGGACTCCGAGTGTGGAAAACTCGGTGCCCCCCCCCCCAAGCCGTCCCTGGTTGCATACCAGGCGCTCGCGCAGAGGCGAGCAACCTCTTTCGGCAAGCGCGTTGAGGTAACGCGTAAGCCGTTGCTGACGGTCCCAAAAGACGTCATGCTGGATAGACCGCTGAATGAGGCCAACAGCCCTTCCAGCGAGGCGACGAAAGAAGAGAAATTCAAGAGAGCTTTCGGCAACCAAGGAGAAATCCTTTGTGAAAATGGGAAGTGGTATCTAAGACGGTGTAACCATGTACTTGGTACGAGCGTTCAAAACGGAGATGTACAGTGGTTTATCTTGAAAATCAGAAAGGGAGTTGCCTTCAAAAAAGAGGTGCCGGCTCCTAACTTTGGGTGTTACTATCAGCATGGAGCTATGATTTGGTACAAAAATAAGTCTGAACGATGTGGTCTAGTTGAGATCACTGGCCTTGAAGCATCAAAATTGAAAGGCAAATCAGGTACTAGTTGCTATGGAGGGACTCTACTCGGTGTTATTCACGACATCGACTATGATTATTACGGTGCAGTCATACATACTTCTGACCCTGTAGATGAAATTCAGTATCATGTAGATCATTATGACGACTGGGTCGATATTGATAGGACTTTCGGTGAGGAAAAAGGAAAGATAACGTACACTCTGTGTTCAGCAGCTGCGCTGACTTTCATGTGCCTTCTTTCAAGTGCCTTGTCGTGCGATGTGGTTAGCGAAGCTTACGGCACTTACTTAGTCAATGAAATCCAACAGCTTGATTGGCCGACAGGCGAAGAAACGTGCATGGTGCCCCCATGCATTGGTTGTCTCGATTTGGAATGTGGCGCTGGCTATGATCTAGCCACATGGCAGTATATATGCAAACAGGCCGACTCTTGCATTGAAAATGAGGCTTTAGTCATGTTGTTTAGGTCAAATTATTCTGTCGATTTGGATTGTATATACGATGTGCCACAGCCTCGCGCAAAGCGAGACACTAGTAGCAGCGAGGGAATCCTTGTTAGAGTTTCAAATAAATTAGGTTTTGATATTTCTGCAGCTAAAGATAGGGTTATCAGTTTCAAGGACAAAGCAGTAGAGTACTCCAAGAATTCGATTGCAATTATTATAGTAGTTTCAGTGCTCTGGATTTCCCTTACATTGCTGGGTGTTAGCCCGGTGGTGTCTATGATTTTCATCTTCCTTTCTTTCTACATTTCTAGCGTTCAAGGCGTCAATATTGCAAAAGATAGGACGAATTGTCGAGTGGAATATAATAGAGCGGATTTGAATGTGCGCTCTAAGTGTGTAACCAACACTAGGCTTTTTAGTGGCGTTCTTTATTGTAATAAAACGGGTGTTCCGGGGTGCGGGTGGTACATGACCTATAGCACTTTTAGGCCCGACATGAGGACGCGAGCCGTGACTTGTGTGTCTGATGATCAAATGAGCTTCTGGGTAGAGCAGACACCAACACAAAAATTTGTTAGGAGCTATTGTGCTGCCAATCCAGTTGACGTTGTTACCTTAGCTAAAAAAGTTGTAGAGTATTATTTTGGATACTTGCAGGAGCCGACTGAGGCTCATTTGAAACGGATTAGCGACGAATTTTCGACCATTATGACTAATTTAGTGGGAACCAAATATTATGAGTTACTATATAAAATCGCGTGACAATTTTCTCGCGTATACACACTGCGGCGAACCCTCTTGCTGGGCGGCGCCAACACCCACCCCCTTGAAACCACGAGGGGTCGAAAACGAGAGGTTTCAATTTAACTTCACCAGTTTTGTCACTGGGCGCTGCATTACTGTCCCTCTTGTTCGGACAGTCGCAGATCGAACCAATCCATCGGAACTAGTTCGAACAGCTTCAATCTGTTGGCGCCGCCCAGCAAGAGGGTTCGCCGCAGTGTGTATACGCGAGAAAATTGTCACGCGATTTTATAATTTCGAATTCAGTATTTTGTTTCCGTCTCAGCTGGAGTTTATTGCAAGTTTATTGCGCTAAATTGAATATGGAGTATAGTTAGGTGATATTTTGTGTTAAGTGTTAACATATTTTGAACCCCGCAGACTCATGTAAGTACGCATTTTGTTGTGGTAATAGACACGACTTTCGTTAGTAGTGAGAGTGACGATCTTGGTTATATCTGTAACGTTAGATCTTGTATGAGATGATTTAGGTAAATGCATAGTGTTGTTGTCCTTAAACCTATGTCTCCAAGTTGTATGACGTGATGTCATGTATTCCAGAAACGGCAACATGGAACTCAAGAGAGATATGTTTGTTTCTATTATTTGAGTAAGAAGATGCTCGAATAGTGCAATTAGACCGTATTGAGTGCGGTGGTAAAGGCCATAATTGATTTGCTGATTTAGCGTAATCAAAAGGTAGATTCGCGCGTCGTTAGGGTATTGGTAGGGTAGTACGCGGAAGTTATACCGTCAGGGTTTAAATGTATCTCTCTAGCAGTCCTTTCATGATGTTCGGCTTTGATAATATATGTGGGTATGAATTGACCAGAAGCTTTTGGAAATGGGATGAGTCGGAGGAGAACGGAAATTGAGCGGAGTCAGATTCATTCGGTGCCTAGTTAGTCATTATGGCTCAGGAGCTTAGCTCCAAACCCAGGGTACGCTATCCACCGCGTGTGCCCCAAAATGGCGGAGTTATTCACCTGAACCACGATGCATAGTTTAGTAAATTTAGTTTAGAGGACAGTGGCCCGGGTGGCAGACGGGTAAAAGGCTGGGAGACGTCCCGGCCGACCACTGATCCTGTAGAGTAAAGTAGAGATCCGGAGGGGAGGTAACGAAGGGCCTACAGGACCGGCCTAAGTCCACCTCACAATGGATTGCTGTGGAACGATCGTGTGGCTTTGTGCTGTAAGAAATGGGACCATATTAGAGCCAGCAATAATCACGGAACATTAGTGTCGGGGCAGACTGCGGCGACCCCTAGGTTGAAGAACAACTAGGGAGAAAAACATTCGACAGATGGCAGCACTAGAAGAGATAATCAGGCAATACTTTAATCAATGGGAAAGGAAATAATGCCAATGTTTTGCCCTCACCAAGCATGCTACCACGACAATGGAATTATTAGGTATAATCTATATGTGAGAAGCAAATCCAACAAGAAAACGAAATCCGTGAAAGAAAGGCAACGCTAACAAACATCGCCATAGTCTTCCTACGCCGAACGAGTTCCCACACCGAACGTGCATCAGCGAGAGTAAAACTAGGATCCTACTGTGGTCGCGATGGCCCCTCGAATTTGTTGTTTGTTTATTGGGGCTTTAGGGCGCGTCGACTGCAAAGGTCATTTTGCGCCCATAACGTCGCGCTAGTAAAACAAGTGTTTCAAAAGAAGAAACTTTCTAGATATCAAGACTAGAAAGTAAAAGACTTTATAAAAAAGACAGGGTAAAATAAAACAACGCAAGAGCGTCGTAATAGACAACTGACTAGACAAGGAGACTAGAGAGGATTTGGGTCAAGTCGAGTAAATCGCTTTGAATTTGACTGCGCGGATAAAGGAAAAGATGTTGCCAGATAAGACCCAGGGTGACTCGTCACCCAGCAGGTGGCGGACAGTGGTAGCCGGAGCGATGCGGCCGAGGTAGCGCGTCCGGTCTGGTTCTAGAAGTGGACAAGATAAGAGCACGTGAGCGACGGTAAGAGGCGCGGAACAACCGTTGCAAATGGCCTGCTCGTCTCCGCGGAGGAGGTGGCCATGCGTGGCATATGTATGGCCGATTCGGAGCCTGCACAAGATCACCTCGTTGGACCGGTTGTCTTGCAAGCAAGACCTCCATGGCTCCAAAGTCGGCTTCACCTCACGGAGCTTTCCGCCTCCACGTAGGCTCCACTCTGCCTGCCACTCAGAGAGAATGAAAGATCGCACAGCCGAATAAAGGTCACGCGCCGGCAATGGCAGACGTCGAGTGCAGGAGGCTGCGGCCGCGCGCCTCGCGGCCGCATCTGCCAGCTCGTTGCCGTGTATGCCGACGTGGCTGGGAATCCAGCAGAACTGAACAAATTTTCCCGATTGTTCCACTGACTGAAGTCGAGCTAAAATGTCTTGAACGATCGGGTCAACTGGATTAAAACTCCGTAACGCCAAAAGGCTACTTAGGGAGTCCGATAAAATCAAGTAAGAAAGGCCGTCCGACACCTCGATAAAACACAGAGCCTTCTCGATGGCGACTAGCTCAGATGAAAACACCGAGGCAAAAGAAGGTAGAGAGAATGAGCGGGTATCGCGACCTGCGATAAAAGCACATCCCACTCCCTCGGGTGTTTTTGATCCGTCTGTAAAAACGGTGTTAAAACCATCGTACGAGACGATGTGTTGCAAGGCCCTGACTCGCGCCTCACAAGGCAGCAAGTCATTCTTCTTAACTTCGGAGAGTGAGAGATCTACTTGAGGTTTTGCGTGTTTCCAAGGCGGAGAGGACGTACCCCAGCTACGTCGTACGACACGTAAACCTATGTTGGCTGCGGAGAAGAGACCTCTCATGCGCGCTCCAAAGCAGAGCGATTGTCGCGCTCTGTCAAGTCGAGTGTAGTAGGTGGAGAAGACGTACGGATACGTCGGATGCGTCGGGAACTGACGCAGTTTCAGCGCATAGCGCATCCCAAGCATCTGGCGGCGTAGGGATAGAGGCGGCTCGTGCGCCTCAGCAAGAAGGCTGCTGCTGGGCGAGGTGCGGAATGCTCCGGTGGCGACACGGATTGCAGCATGATGGACTGCGTCGAGGACCTTTTTGCTGGATTGGCTCGCTGAATCGTACACAAAAGAAGCGTAATCCAGCTTCGACCGAACTATCGTTCGGTACAGGAGAAGAAGGGTCCTGCGGTCCGCCCCATAAGATGTGCGAGCAACACATTTTAAAACGTTCAGGGATTTAAAACAACGTTCCCTAAGCGTTCTAAAATGTTCCTTATACGTCAAGCGACTGTCAAAATAAATCCCAAGAAACTTCGCCACCGGCCGAGTGGGAATCACCTGCCCGTAGAGCTTGATTCCCAAAGCTAGGTCGTCACAACGTCGGCGGCAAAAGTGCATTGCCACGGTCTTCGCTGTGGAAAAACGAAGACCATTCTTACCGCTCCACCTCTCCAAACGTGTTACGGCGAGTTGCAGCTGTCTAGCCGCGTGTCGAGCGCTTGAAGCAGCAAACCAGATGGCAAAATCGTCGACAAAAAGCGATCTCCCGATGGAAACCGGGAGGTCGTCGACGATGTCATTAATTGCCACCGCGAACAACGCCACACTAAGCACCCCACCCTGGGGAACTCCGTTCTCCTGGGTAAAACTGCTCGAGAAATCACTGCCAACTCGGACTTTAAACCGACGACCCGATAAAAAATTCTTGATAAAGAGGCCCATCCGGCCGCGTATGCCGTACTTATATACTTTGGAAAGTATGCTGTGTCGTAAGACTGTATCATAGGCCGCCTCAATATCAAAGAACAGTGCTCCAAGGTGCTTCTTTTCAGTAAAACAGGTGCGTATCTCGGTGTCAAGGGCTAAAATGTGGTCAACAGGGCTGCGGTGCTTTCTAAAACCGCACTGGGCGTTTGTAAAAACACCGTGATGTTCCAGAAACCAGCTAAAACGCACATTGACCATCTTCTCCATCAGCTTTGAAAGCGATGATGTGAGAGAGATGGGCCGATAATGGAGAGGGTCATGTCCCGACTTGCCAGCCTTCAAGATAGGAATGATAATGGCTTCCCGCCAGGTCTCAGGGAAGGTGCCAGTCTCCCAAAGCGAATTGAAGGTTGCTAGCAGCACCTCGAGGGCAACTGTGGGTAGATGACGGAGCATGTCGTTGTGGACTGCATCCGGACCTTCTGAGACGCTGCGCAACGAGCTGATGGCAGACGTGAGTTCAGCCATAGAGAAAGGCTCGTTGTACACCAAATTTTCAGCTGTGCTGAAGTCCACGGCGGCTGGTGCAGGTCGTGAGGACGGCTCTCCTCGGCAGCGCTGATAGAGTGCACGGCCTATCGTCTCTGCGACGTCTGAAGGGTGAGATATGTCCGTGTTGTTCACTCTTAAAACCGGAAGCGGAACAGAGCTGAACCGGCCTTCAATGCGCTTCATGCCTGCCCATATCTGGGTCGTAGGAGTAAAACGGTTTAAGGAACTTACGTAAGTGCGCCATGAAACAGCCTTTGCCTCCTTTAAAACGCGTCGGGCAAAAGCCCGCGCTCTCTTAAAAGCGATGAGGTTCTCAGTAGTACTACTCCGGTCAAACTTTCTAAAAGCGCGCTTCCTGGCACGAATCGCATCTCCGCATTCCTTGGTCCACCACGGGACCGGAGGACGACGAGGCTGACTCGACGTCTTGGGTATGCACCCGTTTGCGGAGTCAATGAGTAAATATGTAAAATCCTCTGTAGACATCACAGAGGGGTCGGCTCTGGATAAAACAGAGGCCTCTACAGCGGCCTGGAATTCGCCCCAGTCGGCTTTCCGAACATTCCACCTAGGTGGACGGTTGCCTGACACTGGGGACTCCTGGTGCTCCAGCCACACTGGGAAGTGGTCGCTCCCGAGTGGGTCGTCATGGACGGACCAGGTAAAAAGCTGAGCTAGCCGCGGACTGACTAAGCTCAGGTCCAGAGCCGATGTTTGACCGGAGGGTGTTGTAAAATGGGTGCGCTGTCCTGTATTTAAAATACACAGCGCCTCATCGCGGATAAAAGATTCTAAAAGTCGGCCACGAGTGCCAGTCGTGTCGCATCCCCACGCCAGGCTATGGGCATTAAAATCGCCGACTACCAGGACCGGAGGTGGAAGCTCATCGACAAGTCGATGCAGCTCAACCACCGGGAGCGCTATACCTGGTGGTAGGTATAAGGAGCACACTGTCAGTTCCCGGTGGTTGAAATCAACTCTGGCGGCCACCGCCTGCAAGGGAGTCTGCAGCGGCACCTGGCGAGCAGGTACGCTGTGGTGAACCGCCAGAAGCACACCTCCATGGGCAATGGTAGGGGTGTCCAGGTCTCTTCTAAAAACAGAGTAGCCCTTGATGGCAAAGGTAACGTTTGACGCTAGCTTGGTCTCCTGGAGACCTAAAACAAGGGGTGTGCGCCAGCGGATAAGAGACTGTAGGTCCTGGTAGTTGGCCCGGAGGCCTCTACAGTTCCACTGTAGAATAAAAGGCGTGGTTAAAAAGGCGCAAAAAGGGCGCGTATAACATGAGGCAAAGGCGCACACAGATACCTGACTGACCACAAAAAAAGTAAAAAGCACCGAGAGAAAT